CTAGTATTATCTTTGCCTATTTCTTGATCTGATCTCTTGGGTCAACCTACTGATTGGACAGTAGCTGCTGATTTCAGCACGTGGGCATCAGCTGCTACAAATGCTGATCATTGGCCAAGAATAGAGGAACAATCCCAGGAAAATTCAAGCTCGGGGTTCTTTCAAAAAGCATATAGCAATTCAAGAAAGTCCACATTCTATTTGGAGGGGGTGAGATAGATACTGCAGACAGCTGGTTGTAAAAATCCTAAAGTGTTAAAAACCATTTGATCATAATCCCATGAGATTTTCTCATTAGCTTTCTTTGTTTTGTAATTAGTCACCAGGAATTAAATATCATCTTAATTTGTATTCTGATTGCTCGGATATGCCATTGAAAGAGGATTACAGTGGCTAGAAGTAGCACTAACATTATTCTGTAAGGAGCCCTGTAAAGCCTGTAAAACAGATAAGTTTCCTCTGGCAGAAGTTGTCCTTGTCTGCAGCCCACTTCTTCGGATGCTGATGAAGAAAACAATTTATGAAAACCTCTTTGTGAGAGTGACTAACACGGGGGGGGGTGTTGACCCAATTATAGCATCTGATTAGCTTCATATTTTAGCATTTCCTCACTTCCTAATTCATGGCTATAATGTCTGAATGAAACCATAAACTACATTTAATTGTCAGTCTCAAATGGAGTAAATTGAATTAACAGAATGTGATAAACCACCACTGATATCTCATTGATTCACTGGGTGTACTGTAAACCAGTATACCCAGTGATAAACAAGGCAGCAGTAGTGTGCCCTGTATGGGTTGAGGCTAGTTGCCAAAATGATTCAGATAGCTAACTAGCTTCTGCAGAATAAATGACAAACAATTGGATTTACCATAGGGGAAATAAGTGGTTGTGAAGTGGCATGTAAGATTGTTCCTGTGATATCATTTATGCTGTAACCAGTGCTACAACAATAAATATCATCTTAGTGTACATACCGACCTTGTGTCAGAAATGGAAGTTAGTTCAATTACTGTAAATACATTCTTTCATGTTGGGAATGAAGAAGACATGTCTCCTTTTAACCACTGGAGCCTTCCAGACTGTTCTGGAGACAGTGAGTTCTTTTTATTGCTAGCTTTTTATTGCTAGCTTCAAATTGTCAAGATGAATCCCCATCAAAACACAAGATGATCTTTAAATTTTACCAGGTTTTACAGCTGATTGCCAAGGTTGCACATCCTTTTGTTGTTGTTGTTGTTGTTGTTGTTCTACATCTGAAGACTTTACAGGTAAACCAGCTGTTTTAGGATGAAGTTATGAATTAAGTAATAAATAAGAAATATTTCAAGGAGATTTCAGCTTTGAAGAGTGGGAGTAAGTAGACCTGATCATGCAATTGCCTTGCAAAAAACGTCGTGGCAGCTGAAAGGAAGAGGAAGTGCTGCTGCTTCATGCCTCCAGAAAATTGCTTATCACATGAGACAGGCAGACAAATGGCTAAATACATCTCTTCCCTAAAGTGTGATTGCACATTGGGTTGGATTTCATCCCAGAGGCTTTCAACTTCATCATTCTTATTTATTCTGCCTAAGTTAGTTAGCTGTCTGAATCATTTTGGCAACTAGCCTCAGTTCATACATGGGAGATTACAGATTCAACCCAGAGATAGCTTGTTAGAACCCATGAATAGCAGTCAAGCTATTAGATTTTTTAACATTTTTGTTTACACTACAGTTTCCTAAATAGTACATGCTTGATCACTTTTGCCTTAGCATTTGATAACTACAGCTTTGTGCCAATCTTTACTTCTTACAGTGCTGTCCTAAAGTGGTTGAACTGGGAGTGGGTAGCTGGTTCTTCACAGAACAGTGGTTCCCAACCTGGAGGCTCCTGATAGTCTTAGAGACTGTGACTCTGAAAAGCTGTGAGAAATGGCATAGATTCCAGGTTCTGGTGACTAATGCTTCTAGGTACTATAGTCCAAATGCCTAAATAGGACCAAGTCTTGGCTACTTACTAGAGATCTCCCAGGGGAGATGAATATGAAGCTTGCTACCACAGATGGCCAGTCAGATTGGACATCCACCCCCCCCTCCCAGTTGGACATCCACTTACAGTGTGGTGCATGGCTGTTCCCCTTCATGCCATGCCAATTGCAGTAGTAGCTTAGCTGGGGTTTTCCTGCCTCGCTGTGCTGATGACCAATCTGGTGAGGGGGTGGGATGACAAGCTTCCCTGCTCAGCTGCTGATTACTTCTGCAATTAGTGTGGCATGAAGGGGGTCCAACAGGATTTGGTCTTCATGACCTTTAGAGCTGCCTGAGATGGCATAGGACTCTGAGTCAGTTCCTAGGTAGAGCTATGTTTTAATTCAATGCTTGTCAGAGTTGTATGTTAAACAAATGTAATAGAGAGTGGTCGGTTTGTTGGTTCTTAATTTGAGTTTCTAATTTGAAGGTTGCTGTTGGTTTTAGATTGTAACCCTTGGAAGTTCTAAGACTTTTGTAGTTTTGAAAGGCCATTGGTCTACTGGGTAATGTTTTACTGAATACATTAATAATATTAATTCAGTGTGTTGAACAATTGAATTTTAAATGTGAACAGCAACAAGTTATTTACCTATTTTCTTGTCTTTAACCTCAATTCATTAATATTTAGACCTATGTTCTAAGATGTGGATGTTTACAGTAATTGTTTAGATAAAGGGTTAAAATGTATTTAAAAGTGTCTGTCTCTCTTCTTACGCAATTGCTGGAAAAGGTTGCATGTAGTTTCAGGTTACCATTAAAACAACTTTGTTTCAAGGCTTAAAACATCCTTCTTCCTTAACAAATACAGTACATTTACCTTCTTTTTTCACATGCACGTACATGTACACTCATCTTTTCCCAAAGTCTTAATTTGCAAAAGATCTTGGCATCTTACCAGGTATTGTCTCATACCATTGGTGTGAGAGATCTAAACCAGGCAATAGAATTGACAATTTCAGAAACAAACTGTCATTATATTATAGGAGTGATTGTAGATTTCCCCCCCTGCATAGTTATAATAAAGGAACAAGTTGAGAGATGTGCTTCTTTTTTATTTGCTTGTAAAAGTGTGCATACCTACTTATACATTTCCATAGATACAAAACTAAAAAAGTTTTAGTTTCCTGGCATTTGGCCTATTTATGCTTAGCATACTGGAGCTGAAGTGGAAACTGATTGAGTTGTAGAGAATATGTGTAAAACTATGTATGGTGTCAGGCAAATCCTGGTAGCATGGCCGCCCAGTCTTTTATTGTTTTTTAAATATTTAATTTTTCTTGTGCCTCAGCTCCTAGAAACGTCATAATATTTACTGAAAATGTGAAATATGTGTATAGCTGTCTCCTCGTCAGCTGAGTACAATGTAGAGGGTTTTTTTACCTTTCCCTATAATCCTGCACATTTTTCTGCAGGGCTAGCCCTGCTATAAGCAGAGTGAGGCACTTGCCTCAGGAAGCAGATATGGAGTTTCCTTCAAGAGTTGCACCTGGCTTGATATTTAATTTGTTACTATTATAGGTTCACTGCTGTTGAGTGGAGAGGTGCCTGTATGGTTTTCTGCCTCATGTGTCAAAAAGACTTGGCTAGCTTCAGGTATTATGCATCATGACTTGGAAGTGTAGGAGGCAGCAGTTGCTTTTCTGGCTCAGGCAGCAAAATGTCATTGGCCGCCTGCACTTCTCTGCCTCTCATACTACTGGATGACTGCTTCTGAAGTTAGAGTAGGTATTTCTCATTCTTGTGAGTGAGACAGTCAACTGGCCTAAGATTTTCAAGAGGATCTCCAGGTGTTTTCTGTCTCTTTAGCTGCTGCTAAGGCCCAAAATAAACAATACATTTATTATATAATCAAAAGTGTAGCTTCCTGAACTGATAAAAATTGCCTGATTGCCCTAACATGAGTTTGTTTTGCCCTGCATTTTGCAAAATTAATTTACTTCTGTTTTATCATTGGTCATTAGGGAGTAAATGTGGGCTTGATTTGCAGATTTGTGATTTGAAGGCAAGGGGGGGTTGATAGCTTCATTATACCAGTTCAGAGGTGAGGGGAACAATTGGTTAGTGCGGGATAGATTGTCAGTCACCCCCCCATCCAGAAAGGTCCCTCCCCATGAAACTTTCTAAAGGCAACATACAAGATTGCAAAAACTCCAACAGGAACAACATGTTTGCAATAATCTGCAGCTATGTTTTTTTTACTATGGGTTAACTGTAAACAGGCATAAATACCATTGCAGCTTATGACCTGTCATTAAAATAATTCTGACTGTCCCATCACAGGAGATCCTGAGAGTGCCATTGTTGGGAGAGCAGCTGAGAGTCAAGATCAAAGATTGCCCAGATCTAACAGCCAAAAGGGAGGAGGAGGGGCACAGTAGGGATCATACATCTGTTATTAAAGCAGGAGCCACAGCTCGAATTGCAGATGGGGCAGAATTTCTATCACAGTCCTCTTTGTCCTGGGTAACAATCTAGACACAGCAAGAATCTATTACATGGAGAAGAGCCCCCCCTCCTAACCTTAACCCTGTTTCTTTATCATGCTGGGGAACTATGCAAGTTGTACTGTAGTTTTAAACATGCTTCACCAAGAAGATTCCATATTTAATCTCCGACATATAATGAGACAAGCCATTGCCTGAAATGTTACAGAGCAGTTGCCAGTCAGAATAGACAATATTAATCTAAACAGAAAAAATAATCTTGTCTTTTGTAAGGCAGCTTCTGTATTCTTAAGATGTTGCAGCGCTATCTCTAGCCTTGGGCCAGAGTGCTTGAGGACAGTTGGAAATCTTTGACATTGAGATCTGCTGAGCTATATGATATGGCATTGAGATGTATTTACATCAAGCACTTTCAGATGGTTTCATACATGTAGATTGACTGAAAACCTCAGAGCAGTATTCCAAAACCAGAAAGGAATGCTTTGCTACTTATACACTGAACAGACATGAAAGTATAATTGTAATTCACTTTTTATTTTTCAGAAATAACTGACAATGATAGCAAGCCAAGTGGCAGCCAACAAAATCTAAATGGCACTACAAGATGGTCTACATCACTGGAAAATTTACTGGAAGACCCAGAAGGCGTCAGGAGATTTAGGGTTGTTGTTTTTGTTATTGCTATTGTTGTTACCCAAATAAGCTTAAAATAATAATTTGTAAATACAGCGTTGAATTGCTTTCCTTCATTATCAAGGATCAACATTAGATATATAGCTCATGGCATATTCAGTGGGACTTTTTTGGAAGTCAAAGGCGTGTGGGGATCTCACTCAAAATAATTGAGGGCATACTTCTGTGTTTCTAGATTGGTTTATATTTGACAAGAGTGAACAATCTTAAGTGAAAAAGAGTCAGCAGTTTTAAAAGTTGGGATTTCATGCAGAATTAAAAAAAAAACTTGATGTGAGGCAGATGAAGGCAAAAGCTGCCAAATGTCACTTCCACAACTTCCACTTTTGCATATTTGTAGAGGTTGCTGATGTTAGCATAGCAATGTCTCTCATTTTTTAGCTGGTGCATACAACAAGATGCTAAAAAGCATGTACCTTGAGCTCAGCACCTTCATATTCATAGAGACAAGAATGCTATTATAAATTGTGGCCTTTTTTCCCATTTAGACCTTCTGTATGTTGTTCCATTATAGTATGCTTAGTGATATTGGAGCACACAGTCAAAATCTGATGGTTTATATCAGTTTATGGAATTGGGACTCCTTCTCAACTAAAGCCCTATATAGTGCAGGCCATCTCCCCTGAATGTTAGGCTGTCAGAACAGGGTGTTTAGTTTCTGGGGGAGGCAGGGGGGGGGGAGGTAGGAGCATCACACCTCTCCTGATTCCACTGTTAGAAGTAGTAGAATCTGTTTACAAAGTGGTAATTGTTAATAGGAAATTGGTTCCATTTTTGTTGCATTTTTACTGTTAAAAAATCAGTAAGGCTACACCAGTTCTACAAGGGTAATAAAAACTGGTTTTGCAGTCTCAGTGTTTATATTGATCTATCATATATAATACAATAATTATAAGCAATAAAAACTGGTTTTGCAATCTCAGTGTTTATACTGATCTATTGCATTTTCCACCACTGTAGTCGAGAAACAGTTGGGAGCTGTTTTGCTGTTTAAAGAATAAAATTAGTTTAAGCAGCTCAGATATATCTAATTCTTTTTAACTATAGAGAAGGAAATTATGAGCAGTCATGGTGTGAGGGTCTGACATAAAAGGCTCTTTTGGCTCTATGTTTGGAAATGACTTGGATTCGTCACGTGCTTTCAAACATTCTACATCTATTTCTGGAACATCAAGGAAACTCTGAACATCAACTTTAACGTTTAGCAACTCTTCCCAATATAAGGGATCAATAAAAGGGTTACTTTGTGTAATAGGATTTTGCCAGTTACAAATGAAACTTGTTTTTTTTTTAAAAATGGCCATGTTTATTTTGTTACTGCCAAGAAATACTAAGCAAAATTAACTAGAATTATTATAAAATATTGAACAGAGATTTTATTTCTTAAACGCTTCCTGTTGATATGAAAGATGAAAAGTGACAGGTTATGACATTCTTCATAATCTAATAGTATATCCTTTTCTCTTCAGGAGTTTTTAAAGAAAGAATTTAGTGAAGAAAATGTTTTGTTCTGGATAGCATGTGAAGAGTTTAAGAAGATACAAGATAAGAAACAGGTACTATCTGATTGAGAAGATCTCAGCCACCCTTCCTCCACCCTGGAGCCATCCATGTGCGTTCTTCTGCAATTCCCATTGTCATCACCTACTGTGATACCCATACTGACAGGGGTGATGGAATATGTAGTCAAAATATATGCAGGGTGCGAAATTGGGGAAGGCTAATTTTCTTCATTTATGTTAGAAGCAATCTGATGATGCTTCTGGGGTGAAAGAATCAACCAAAAAGGTGCTGTCATTTCCCAGAGGACATCTAAATGTAGTCACAGTCCTTACATTCTTGATAAGGGCTTCCAGGGCCTCCCACCAATTGGATCAATTATTTTTGTGTGTCTATATTTCTAGTTTTCTTGTTTTGTGTTTATGGCTCATTATGCTAGTCAGAGTTACTGTATTTCCATCTGAGATGTGCCAGGCTCTGTCCTTCCTGACTCTCAGAAAATTATTAAGAAAATTATCAAGCCTTTAAGAACATACCCCTGCTGTGGTGAAGTTTTAATTTTTAAATTTAGGGTTTTTTTAAAACAAAAAATGAATTGGTCATTGCCATATTGTTTGGATTTGTACATGGGTGGTCATTGGAAGGTGAGTGGTGGTTGACTGGTCTATTTTGTAAACCACCCAGAGCAGTGAGTGTCACTAAGTTGGGCAATTTATAAGCTAAACAATACATACATACATACATACATACATACATACATACATACATACATACATACATACATACATACATACATACATACATACATACATACATACATACATACATACATACATACATACATACTTTAATCCAATTTGTGGTGGACATTATTTTTCTTGATGTAGAATTCCATTCCCACATCTGTCTCGTAACTATGGTGTGGCTGCCAGTGAGTGTCAACCCAGTAATCCAACATTATGGTAGCACAGTGAAAATCCTTGTTCACACTATTGTTCTGGAATATACCATGGTACCTGTGGTTGAGCAAGTGGCTATATGTCCTTATTCAAACACTTCCACAACTTCCACTTGCACAACAAGTTGCACAAATGATAACCAGCCCAAGTTGAAACATAAACCTGGGACTTATGAAGAGACAAATAGGTCAAAATCTGGTAAAAAACAAAAACAAAATTCAACATTAAAGGTTATCTGAGAACTAAAATAAAAAATGCGGTTTCTGCGAAGTTGTTTAAATTCATTAGGCAAAAACAGTAGGCAGAAGATTAGCAACAGGAAAACTCTAGAAAAATACAGAGGCTGGGGAAACCTGGTAATAGTTTAGCAAATATTAAGGTACTGTATATTGCTTTAGCAAAATTTTTTTAACTCATTAGATAAGCTTGAACATAAGGTTATCAAAACCAGATGCTTTTCTTTTTAGTCCAGGATGGCACATTTTAACATTCTTTACACATAAAGAGAAGATGTGGGAAAGTTACCACTATCGTCCAGAAATTAGTTAAGTAGGGGTGCGATCAGATGATGAGAAAGGACCACATCTAACTGCTCCAGAAAGGATCACATTTTTGGGAGTTATCTTCCTTAAGGCGATCTGACCATCTGTGGATAAATCACTCCAGCCCAACCCCAAAAGAGAGTAGCCCTGCTGCTGGACCAAAAACGTCCAGCTTGAACATGGATCAGGTTTGGGCTGTTTGTGATCTCACATACATTGTGCGATTGCTGGGAAATAGCTTAAACTGGACCTTGCCACATGAAATCCAAAATGCAAACTATTTCTGTCTGATCACACCCTCGGTTGAAAGAATCTGAAGATAATATGAAAGCAGCAATTTATTTGCTCAGAATGAAGATAAAAGTCTTGACTTGGAAAGCAGGATACTAAAAAAGGATATGAAAGTTAACCCAGCTACACTGCACTTACTCTGTGACAGATAAGCCACTATGTATGTTAATCTTTTTTTCACACTGAGATAATCTTTGTTGGAGCAATGTTCACAACCACATTTGCAGTATTCTGATATATAATTATTCCTGCCAGTTTTAATCACTAACATAAACTTGTATTGAGATTGAGAACAGCACTACAGTATTGAGTCACAGAAATAGGTAAGCTTTAGAGTCACATACATGTTAAGGCAAATTCATATTTCCTTCTCATACAATGCTATTCCTGTGGGTGTGCAAATTTTTCAGTGTTACACATCTGAAATATTAGATAATTAGACATGGAAACAAAACAATGCAGTCTCCAAATTAACCAGTTACAAAGCAAAAACATGCTAAATTGAGAAATGCAGGTGGAAGCAAGCTTCTGTTAGACTAAACAGTCTTCTCTTCAGGGCACAGTGCCCTGGGCACACAGAATCAGCATCTTGTCTAATGAGGCTCTCACATTCTTAGGTTAATAAGCTCTTAAGTACAATCATTGATTTCAGTAAGGAGAGGTTTCCTGTATGATATAATCTACTTTTGTTTCTGGCAATTCACCAAGAGCCTCCCCTGATTTTCCCCTTGACATTACAACCTTTCAGTCTGATCTGATCTATTTACTGTTTTGTTTTGTTTTCTGAATTAATTCCCACTTTTAGAAAAAAGGTAGTGAAATAAATGATATCTCATGTGATCTACTATACAGCTCTTTTGTGTTTTGAGATGTGACTCACTATGAAATCCTGTGCATGCCTATTGAGAAGTTAGTTCCATTGATACGCAATATGTGTGGGATTCGATTTGAACCAGATTCAGTTACACACATCCTTTGTCACTGCCCTGAGTTTAAAGATATGCGTGCTTGTCTATTAGGTTCAATAATTTCAATTTTTTCTGGCCCTCCTCAGTTACTCACAGGTTTCCTTCTTAATGACTATTCACAAAAAATAACGGCCTTAGTAGCCAAGTTTCTTACAAAGGTTCTCTCCGCCCAGGGCTCTAAAAATTAACTAGACTACTCCAAAGTATCTCCTATTGTGTTTTTTTGCTGTTGTTGGTTTTTTTTAGCCGTGTAACTACCATTATGTGTATCTCTATTTGCTATTAATTTCCCACTATAAGTTTTTTTTTAAAGTTTCCTATGCCAATAAAGGTTACCAAATTGATTTGCTTCCATCTATGCACTTATAGATGCATGGGGTCACGAAGAGTTGGACACGACTAAACGACTAAAGAACAACAATGCACTTATAAGATTGAACAACGCATGTCTTTTATGATCAGTTAAACATGATAGTTCTCACATGATTTGTCCATATCTGTAAATTTAAATTTGCCCTTGAGTTCTGTTTCCTATAAAATAATACTATATATATATCAATATGCTATATAATACTATATAAAGCATATTGAGTTTGAGCATATTGATCAAATTGTGAAAATTTCCCATTGACATCTACTCTCTGTTTCCTGGTTCTCAACCAATTCTCAATCCATAAGAGGACCTGCCCACTTATCCCCTGACTGTGGAGCTTTCTCAGCAGCCTTTGGTGAGGCACCACATCAGACACCTTCTGAAAGTCCAGATAGACAGTATCCACTGGTTCGCCTGCATCCACATGCCTGTTGACCTTTTCAAAGAATTCTAAAAGATTTGTGAGGCAAGACTGGCCCTTACAGAAGCCATGCTGATTTTCCCTCAGCAAGGCTTGTTCTCCTATGTGTTTTAAGATTTTATCTTGGATGAGGCTTTCCACCATCTTCCCTGGAACAGACATTAAGCTAACCAGCCTGTAGTTTCCTGGGTCACCTTCCTTCCATTTCTAAAGATTGGCATGACATATGCTATCCTCCAGTCCTCTGGCATTGTAGCTGTCTTAAGGCACAAGTTGCTTATTTTAGTTAAGAGATCAGCAACTTCATTTCTCAGTTCCTTAATAACCCTTGGGTGGATGTCCGGTGACTTATTGATCTTAAATTCTGGATGCCATCTGGGCCCAGTGACTTATTGTTCTTAAATTCATTGATTATGTCTAAAACATCCTCTCTTTTAATCCATGTCTGATTTAATTCATTCATCAGGAGGGGTCGTTCCAACAGCGATTAGGTCTAAAACATCCTCTCTTTTAATCAGTGTCTGATTTAATTCATTCGTCAGGAGGGGTCGTTCCAACAGCAGAATCTGCCCAATGTCTTCTGTCATGAAGACAGATGTGAAAAACTCATTTCTCTGCAATCTCCAAGTCCCCCTTTACCTCTCTCATGATCTAGAGGGCCAGCTGCCTCTCTGCAATCTCCAAGTCCCCCTTTACCTTTCTCACAATCTAGAGGGCCAGCTGTCTCTCTGGCAGGTTTCCTGCTTCTAACATATTTAAAGAAGCTTTTATTATTCCTCTTTATATTGCTGGCCATACATTCCTCAAAGTCTTTCTTTGCCTTCTGTATTATCTTACCTTTCTTTTGCCAGAGTTTGTGTTCCTTTTTATTCTCCTCAATAGGGAAGGATTTCCATTTATGGAAGGACCCTTCCTTGCCCTTTAAAGCCCTCTAACTCTGCTCATTAACCATGCTGGTACCTTCTTGGACTTAGTTGAGCCCTTCTTTCTTTGCGGTATACACTTTCGCTGGGCCTCTACCACCATTGCTTTAAACCATTGCCACCCCACCTCTAATACACCCCTCCTTATCCCTCCTTTGGAGTTTATAGCCTGGGATTGCAGCATCCCACTGGTTCTCCAAATTCCACCAGGTTTCTGCTATGGCCACTATATCAATGTTATTCCTAGCCACCAAATTTTCAAGCTCTCTCATCTTTGTTTGGATGCTACAGGCATTTGCATAAAAGCACCTGGATATGGGGTCCCCCAAGAAAGGGCTGCTTATTTGTTTCTTTTTTTCCACAGCTTCTCGATCCGGTGGACCAAATATCATGTCACATCACGTTCCCAGTCCTAATTCCCACACTGTTATCATCTTGTACTTCTCTACCCTCTCCACCCTCGTTCCACAGGGAAGAGGAATCCCAAACTGGACACTGCTCGGCTCCTGTCAGTTTTCCCTCAGGATTTGGTTAAAAAGCTGCTCTGTAATCTTTTCAATGTTACACACCAGTCCGGTGGACCAAATATCATGTCACATCACGTTCCCAGTCCTAATTCCCACACTGTTATCATCTTGTACTTCTCTACCCTCTCCACCCTCGTTCCACAGGGAAGAGGAATCCCAAACTGGACACTGCTCGGCTCCTGTCAGTTTTCCCTCAGGATTTGGTTAAAAAGCTGCTCTGTAATCTTTTCAATGTTACACACCAGTAGTCTGTTTCACAGGGAAGAGGAATCCCAAACTGGACACCTCTCGGCTCCTGTCAGTTTCCCCTCAGGATTCAGTTAAAAAGCTGCTCTTCCATCTTTTCAATGTTATGTACCAGCAGTCTGTTTCTGTGTTCATTCAAGTGAAGCTCATCCCTTTTGTACAGGCCCAGCTTGTCTCAAAACATTTCCCAGTGCCTAATGAATCTAAACACATCCCCCTGACACCACTGCGTCATCCATGCGTTAGGGCCCTAATCTAAACACATCCCCCTGACACCACTGCCTCATCCATGCACTGGGGCTCCTGAGCTCTGCCTGCCTAGCTGGCCCTGCGTGAGGAAGAGGTAGCCCTTCTGGGAACACTACCTTTGAGGTCCTGGCTTTGAGCTTCCTCCCTTACAACATAAATTTGGCCTCCAGGACCTCACAGCTACATTTCCCCATGTCACTGGTGCTGGCATGCACCACCAGTGCTACCTCGTGCCCTATCCAGTTGAGATGTGCTGTAACCTTTGCACCTGGCAGCAAGTCACCATGTGGCCCTCACAACCATCATAGACTCCTTGCTCTATGTTCCTGACAATTGAATTGCCCACTACCAGAAGCCCTCTCCCACCTCCCCACAAGGAGTATCCTCAGTGCAACAGGATACAGGCCTGTCATCTGTAGAATGGGTCCCCTCTAGGGGATGGTTTCCCTCTTGTCCAGATTGGTGTCCTCCAGCCTGGAGATTTCCAGTCCCAGCAGCTGAGAAGCTGCTTGTCTGTGGGTAGGACGATGCCTGAAGGTCCCTGGAAGTCTCACCGTGGTCGCAGTCTCCCTGTCTCTACTTCTCCTGGTGTGCAACCAGGACCTCAAGGAAGCAAACCTGTTTCCTGAGTTCTTGGAGCTCCTTGTAATGAGGACTCACCTATGATTTTGCCCAAGAGGCATATAGTCATACATATGACATTTGGTGCAAAACAAGGAATAGCCCTCAACCCACTGCTGTCTGTCTGACTGCATGCTGATATCTGTTTGCCAAACCTTTTTTCAAGGAAAGTGATAGGCAGTATCTGGGGCCCTGGCTTCCTTGTCCTGCTGCTGAACTTGCACAGCTGCTAATCTCACTGTGTCTTCTTAACCTGCACTTCGTTGCACTATGACAAGCCCTATCTTTAAGGGATACTGAATGTAAAACTGAAGGTTACAGTGGATTTAGAATAGACAGTGAATACACTTACTCTCTTGCACAGCCTGTTCTCTCTCCCTCCTTTTCCTCACGCAGATCCTCCTTTCTGTCTCCTTTAACTTGCACAGCTGCTAAACTCACTGTGTTTTCTTACTCTGCACTTTGTTGCACTGCGGCACTTTGTTGGAGGAGGCACTTGCACTCAAGCAAGGGCACTCTCTAGGAGGTCTGGCTTTTATGTTCTTTCCTAGCTCCTCCCCTTGTACTTCTGGATGATTGCAAAGGGCTGAGGAGGCCTGCAAGGATGTGCTCTACAAGGTCTCAGCTTACATAACATAGGGACAAGATGTGGAGAATTATTATTTTCATTCTTGTGATATAGATGAGTCTAAGAAACCACATATCTTTAGTCTGGTATATCTGTGAAGATTCTCAGTCATCCAGGTGTGGTTATCTGGAAGTTGAGTCATGGCAACTGGACTTCTCTCTTGTTAGGTTGAAATGTTTCCCTACTCACCCAAACAGCTTCTTCAGTCTGAGGAGGGTTGGTAGGAGATCCCTGATATATCCTTCATTCTGGTTTCACTTCCCCCTGGTCTGAATAGGCTCTAGAAGGACAAAGGACTGGGGGTGGGAATAATCCCACTTCTGCAGTCCTTCTCCACCCGTTGTCATGGGCCATTAACAGTCGTTAACAGTGATCTTTCTTGTGTGTCCCTAATCCTTCTGGGGACTCTTTCTTGTGTGTGTCCCTAATCCTTCTGTGGATCTATGAAAGGGCAGCATGATAAATAGGAGACAGATTGTATCTAAGGCTTCCATCACTGTTGAGTGAGGGATTTTCTATATGCACATGTATGGCCTCCCTGATCCCTCTCTCAAACTATCTATCTTCTAGGTCTAAAATGAGTACATCTTGGTCATCAAATGAGTTTCCTTTGTCCTTCAAATGAAGGAACATTGCTGATTGTGGTCCTGAGCCATTGTCCCTCCTATGCTGAGCCATTCTCCCGTTTAGTGTTTGTTTGGTTTCTCCAATGTAGAACTCTGAACATTCCTCTTTGCATTGCTCCTATTGTGTTTTGGTGTCCGGTCTTTTGATTGATCTTTTCGGGAAGTCTGATCTACATAAAATATTAAGGTGTAATTAACATAAATCACAGGAGTCCCAAACAAGAAGAGTATGTGCTGCTGAGGGGAAATGGGTGAGAAGAAGAATTAATCAAGATGCAGTACATTGAAGTTCAGTATTATGAATAGGAAAACATTTAGGGAATGGGAAAACTCTTATAACTCTCTCATTGTATGATGTGCAGTGGAATTTTCTGAATACACTTACTCAATCCATGAAGGAGTCTGAATAAAATAGTGATAGGTAAATCACAGTGCTTTAGATCTAAAAGCCATGCCACTAGCAAAACTGCATGCCTTTGATTCTGCTGCGTAACACCCTGAACAATGGTAACTTGAGAATACTGCTCATATTATATGTCTTATACTTGCTGTGCTGTTATTAGATGCAGTTCCTAAACATCAGCAGTCAGTTGTCATCATGGAGGTAGCTGCTGTTTGTTGTTGTTGTTGTTTATATGCTGCATTTCTCTTAACAAGTGACCCAAATGAGCTCTGCACTTACAATGCAGAGTTCTACTCAATCAATGGACTTTCCTTTCTCCCCACTTCACCTTATAACTCTACACATTTTCCCATAGATATTCCTATGGGTTCAAGACAAGATGGCATAAGATGTTGAGGGTGGGAAGGGGCTGCAATGGGGAGACAGAGAATGGGAATAACCAGCTCCTTTTGCCCAAATGAAAATTCACTGAGCTTGTGCAAGAACATTTAGGATCCAGTCCTATATGTACCTAATATTAGAAAAGTGATATGTTTATTTAATGTGTCCTTCTTTTCACAGATGCAGACAAAGGCCAATGAAATTTACATGACTTTTTTGTCCAGTAAAGCTTCTTACCAAGTCAATGTTGAAGGGCAGTCCCGTTTGGATGAGTCAATACTGGAAACACCACATCCTCTAATGTTTCAGAAACTCCAAGACCAGGTACAATTTAGAAACTTTTTAATTAGTTTGTACAAGGCAGAGAGCTAGATACACAAAGTAATATATAGAAGCACTACAGATGTCTTTTGCCAGTGTAATTCCAGCATGTTGTATCTGCAGCTGGGACAAGCATCTTATGTTTACCCCTCCATTATTGGTTGGTCTTTCTCTCATACTTCTGGTACACAGAGAGCCACTGTCTGTACCTGGGAGTCCTTTGTATCTCTGAGATCATTCCATTAATGTTGTAAATTATTTGGAGATTCTCCACAGATAGAGGAGAGTGTTTGTTGCAGACAGTTATCCTCTCTACTGTATATGGAAGACAATGAAAATGACAGTGGAGACAGTTGAGATATACATGCTCCTCCTGAAATATGTCCACTCACCTTTATTCTCCGTTCATGTAGATCCTGTACACTGTAATATTGCCTGGAGAGGGCTAATAAAAGTTTAGAAATAAATTCTTATACTCCTGTCCTGAAGTGAAATTTGTAAATATAATTCATTCTGATTTTTCCCCTCAGCCTCTTATTTATAGCACTTATTGATGAACCTTCCTATACAAGCTGTTGTTAATTGCCTAATATCCCTACTATTAGGTAGTTTTCCCTCAAACTGGACCCTTATTTCAACCATTGGTTCTTTGCTTGACCTTTAGTGATACTGAAAAACAGTTATAAAGCCTTATAAATAATATTCTGTTGAAAAATTAACTAGGGAAGATAAGGTTATTTTGATGCCAGAATTGTTTTTAAAAGATTGATGGGTGTTGGGGGGGGGAAGGAAGGAAGAAATATATGTGGAACAGCTATCAGAGATAGAAAGAAGAGGACAGAAGGGAGAGGGCATTCGCGATGGAAACAGAATGAAGAAATTTTTTTGAAAAAACCAATGGGAGAAAGCTGAAGATTTTGCCATAGAGAATAGGATTGGACAAAGGAGACAAAATCACAAAGGAAGATAAGTGAGCAGAGTTTCAGTGGTCAGAGAAAACAACTTTCCTACCACAATCCTCTAAATTCTGAAGCCCACTGTGTGAAAATAACACTGCTGTTTTTGATGAAGCTAATAAATATACTAGCATTTACACAGTGCATTTTAATATCACTGTCTTTAGCAGGTTGTTCATTTCACCTGTGTAAAATTATATTTACCTGGTTATAGTTGGAAGTGCTAGATCACAATGCAGCCAGGATGGTGGGCATATGTCCACTCCTGGCTCTCAGTTTGTATTTGCAGATTTTGGAATGGGAAGTATGATTCCATATTATAGTGCAACGTCAGAACCATACCACTTCTGTGTGAATAACGTTTGTTTGTTTTTTTGGGGGGGGAACATAGCAATATTCTTAGTCCTATAGTAAGCATGTTTATCTAAAATTTAAAAAAAAATTAAGTAAATGTACTACAATTTACAATCAATGGCTTATACCCTTGTATTCTTATAGTTTATCTGCATTATTCAGAGAATCTGACAAGTGATAGCCATGACATTTAAAACAATGAAGTAACCAAATTTCTATACTGCCTGTCAGGCTTCAAAAAATTTTTTGTATGGGTTGCTCAATGCTGATGTACTTTATTGCTTCATACTGGTTATTAATAGGTGAGCACTTTTTTTATCCACATGGTGCCCAAGATGTCACATAACAAATTGAAAGTAAAACTGCCTTTCTACCTGGGAGTAAGTCCCACTGAACTAATTTGGAATCAATTCTGAGTAGGCATGTATAGGATTGCATTTATGATTTAAGCAATTCAGTAATGTTATATTTGCATCCATTTATTTCACTGCACTACATTAGTACCTCAGTTTACGAAATTAATGAGTTCTACAGAATGTTACGTAAAGCAAAAAATTCATAAACTGAAATGCAGATTGCCATAGGAACAGGGTGGCGCTACAAACCTCCAGGCACAATGCATCCTGGGGAAACTTTCTTTGTACTCCGAAAAAAAAGCAAACACCCAGAAAAATATAAACTGAGGCATTATTTTCCATGGATTTTGCTTCGTAAACCGAAAAGTATGTAAAACTTCCATGGATTTTGCTTCGTAAACCAAAAACTATGTAAAATGAGGTATTTGTAAAACAAGGTACCACTGTACAGTATCTTAATGCAGTATTATTGTCAGTTTGTCTTGTGAATTTTACAGCAAGTCATTCCTCATAAACTACACATTTTTAGTTCTGATAACTCAGTTTAGCTACATTTCTAGCAATCTACAAAAGAACTCAAGGATTTCTTGTGAATGCCAAGGAACCTGTAGTGAATGCCATTTCCTTCCTCTCCAACTTAAATAAATCAGCCAAAAATCAAGCAGGATTTCAAAGTTGTTTGTGCTTCTCCCAGTTCTAAAGCTGCAGATGTCACAAGCAGCTTCCCAAGAGTGTGGGGGTGATCGGATTAATTATTTTACCTTTGCTAATGGCAGCTATCAGAGATTCTATTCTAGGCTAAAAAAGTGAAGGACAGAACATGCCAAGTAAGCTCTTCCCTGCAACTCTTAGGTCAGCCTTGAAAAAGTACTTCAGACTGTTGCAGCCTGTTAGCTTGAATGAGATGCTCATTATCAAAAATGAAAGAGTTTATGAAGAAAAGAATAAGTTAGGAAAATATTTAGGAAATTGTATCATTTTGAGCACATCCAGTCTCATCTCATTTCCAGAGTTAGGCAAGGTCAGACCTGGTTAATACTGGGATAGGAGACTGCCACAAAATACAAAGACTCTTCAGGTAGGGCTAGAAAAAAAATCCTGCCTGAAACCTTTAAGTTGACAGTATTGGTATGATTCAGAATAAAGACTTCCTTTGTTTCTGTCTTTCTTTGATGAGGATTAATGTATATTGTTATGTGCCCTCAATTGCACCCAACTTATAGTGATCCTAAATAGAGTATTTAAAGTATATGAGAGATTTAGGGAGTGGCTTATCATTGCCACGGTACCCTCACTCCTGCAAGTTTCCATGGCTAAGCAGGAATTTGAACTCAGGTCTTCTGAGTCCTACTCCAATCCACTACAACACACTGGCTCCCAATGCACATTAGCACTTGACGTTCGGAAGAACAAGTGTAATATAGCAGTTTTTTGCAAGTTTGTTTAGCATCCTTCCCCAACCTGGAATCCACAATATGTTTTTGACTTCAAATTCCATCAGTACCGGTCAGCATAGCAAATGGTCAGGAATATTGGAAGTTGCAATCTGAAACATGCAGAAAGTGCAAATTTAGGGAAAATTGTAAAATTCAGCTCATCATTAGAAATACAAAGGCTACACTGGCAGAAAAATCCTCTGTTAGGCAAACGCTCAGTGGCTGATCCAATGCATTCTGGCTCCGAAGTTAGTTCCACCTGGTTTAGTGGAGCTTATTCTCATGTAAGTGTGGACAGTTTTAGGAGAATAAGGTAAAGAATCAAAGTCTGAGGTCACAGATAATTACAAACCAGTCTTGCCTGCTGGTATATCTTGATTGAGGGCAGTATAAAATGTTTTAAATAAACAGTAAGAATTTATATCAAGCCAACATCCCTAGGACTGATAGCCCAAGCCAGAAGACCCTTAGTGCAGGTAGCTGAGACCAGTGGTTTTCAAACTCTGACCTTTCAAATATTCTGGACTTCAACAAGTGAAACCAGATGTGAGGGATTCTGGGAGTTGGAATCTAAAACATTTCAAGGGCCAGAGCTTCAGAACCACTCATCTAGACTAATCAACCTACAGTAGCTTAAGAAAAATGTAGCCTTCTCTCTTTTTTGAAGGATAAATCCAACTATGTTTCTTGCCTGTAACGTTGGTTCAAATTAATTCTGATTCCAAACCACATATAATTTAGTAGAACACTTTCAAGATTATGAGATAGCACAACAGTTACGGTATCAGAAACAAGTTTTTAGTGCTACTTACTTCATTTATATCTTCACATGAAGAATGCAATTAAGAACATCTTACTATATCACCAGACCTTTTCTACTCCATACTGAAGAATTTGAAGCTAAATCCCAATCCATATTAAATAAGTTTAATTTTCAATAGAGAATTCTTCTCTAGGTCAGTTAATGCATATGGACACCGTCCACAATTCGTGCTTTAAATGTGAGCACGACTCCTCCAGCTTACACAGAGAAAATATCCCACCCTTGCTTCAGATGTCAACTTGTTCTGCCTGATGATGATATGGATGCAACATCATCCAAATTGCCTTGCCACTATTCCTTCAAATTAACCACGAGGTCCAATGAAACTGATATATTGGGATGAGTTGAGTATCCTGTTTTTCTGACAGTTTGATCATGTTCAATTTTATGGATGTTTTGTGTACTGTACTTTAAAAGTACATGCCTATATTGGTGTGCAAGCATACTCTTTTGAGGTACTTCCCCCAATTCTTGCCCCTCCCCTTGGAGCAGCATCAATAATGGCTGTAGAGAAGACTGAACTGTGAGAGATGGCAGCAGTGCCATGAATCTCTCAAATCAGAGATAATGTACAAAGAGCAGTGGACTTTAATTGCTTCTCTATAGAAATTGTCAGTGTTGACAACATTGATTATCTTGTTGGGAGATAACTGAGAGATTCTTCTTTACTGATAATGCTGTTTTTTATGTGCACAGTTTCAACTACATTAAAGGATTATTCAGAAGTAATACAGTCTGTAGTGGTGCATTCCCTAAGGGAGTCAGTCATATGAATTTGCTAAAAATAACACTGATTGTCCCTAAGATAAATATTAGGGATTCTACCACATTTTCTTAGTGTTGTGACTAAAATTTCCAAAACACATTATGTGCAAAAAAAGTGTTATACTGATGAAATGTAATAAACTAGCTCCTTGATAACAACTTTATCTGGCTGTCATTGAATATAATGTGTTGGAAACCTGAGCATCAGTTTAAACCATAAATTGAGAAGTTACTACTTTTGGAACTCCGGCTCCAGGAATACCCCAACCTAGAGTGACTGGGGGACATATTGGCTGATATATGGTGGCAGTAGTAGTCCAAAAGTAACTTTATCTCTCATTGGAACTAAGTTAATTATTGAAGGCATCCTGAAAATTTGGAAATGCCTAGTCTCCAGGCTCCTTATTCAGTAATCACAGTGTTATGGCTGATTGACTAAGATGTACACTATCTTAAAAGCTACCACAAAAATTCTGAATTGTACCAAGTATCTGTAGCTGGAGAGAGAAGTCTGTCTGTCTGTCTGTCTGTCTGTCTGTCTGTCTGTCTGTCTGTCTGTCTGTCTGTCTGTCTGTCTGTCTGTCTGTCTGTCTGTCTGTCTGTCTGTCTGTCTGTCTGTCTGTCTGTCTGTCTGTCTGTCTGTCTGTCTGTCTGTCTGTCTGTCTGTCTGTCTGTCTGTCTGTCTGTCTGTCTGTCTGTCTGTCTGTCTGTCTGTCTGTCTGTCTGTCTGTCTGTCTGTCTGTCTGTCTGTCTGTCTATCTATCTATCTATCTATCTATCTATCTATCTATCTATCTATCTATCTATCTATCTATCTATCTATCTACACACACAAAAAAACCCTCATAACCTGTTGTCTCTGTTTTCTACACATGTGATTTGTTACCCTACTTCAGAATACATAGTTTAGTAACTTTAAATAACTATGACAGGAGCCTCATGGCGCAGTGGTTAAACTGCTGTACTGCAGCTAAAACTGTGCTCACAACCTGGGGTTAAATCCCAGGTAGCCGGCTCAAGGTTAATTCAGCCTTCTATCCTTCTGAGGTCGGTAAAATGAGTACCCAGCTCACTGGGTGTGTGTGTGTGTGTGTAGCCTGCATAACTAACTTGTAAACCGCCTAGAGAGTGCTTTGAAGCACTATGGGGCGGTATATAAGCAGCTTTTATATAGTAACCCATCAAAAAGCTGCTGTGGTTCTTCTGCTTCTATTACACAGTTGAAATAGTAACAGTTTATGGAGTTTCTGAAGGAATTATCCAAAAGTTCTTTTGAGGAGGAAGTGGGTATTAGCTCAGTATGCAAATAAATAAGTGTGGCATCCTCCCAGGTCATGAATATTAATGTGCTATCTGCATGGAGAGGCGAAGTCACAAAATATAAGAGTCTCTGCAGGGGGAGATGGAGGAGGAGACAACTGGAAATGGAAGATTAGAGAGTTTGAGAGTTTGGAGTTGAGAGAGAGCTTTGGGGAAGGCGGTAGAGAATAGAAAGGAAGTTTTATTCCTTGTAATAATAAACAATTTCTATTTCATTCTTTTTAAAATGACACCTTGCCTGGACCTCTGTGAGTAATAATGAACAATGTTGATGTAATTAGCTGGTAGCAGCAACATGACACATAGCTTGTGCCCTGTGATTGGTGAAACAACCAAGGGACAGGCTGGAATGTGATAATAAGCAAAACTAAAAAGGCTATGCCTGAGTCCTATAGATGTCATTTTCATCCGATGAAAGGTAGTTGTTCACCATGTCTTCAGCAGTAGATTATGAGTTTAGTCTATATCAAAAACTAATGAGTCTAAAGGCTACTCCTTATACTTCCCACTAATAACACACCTTTCCAGAATTAATGAATGCTGAAGAATGTCTCCCACCAGAACAAGACTCTAACTAGACCATCTAGAAGTCACTTAATAATCATTGAAGTGAAAAAGGGAGAGCAAAGAATAATCAAGTAAAATGGGGCTATTTGGATAAAGGACAAATTTTCTGACTATGGAGAAATTCAGCATTTACTGTATATGCATGCAATTTATGCCCCATTGTGTGTACAAAAGAAGATCTAGCAAAGGGCTGAGATAATGTGATTAAAATAACCCACTTCTGGTAAAAATTACTTTAATTATCTAACCATTTTAATATGTTTTACATTTTACCCCTATATCATATATTTCCATTATTTTAAATTGTGCAACATTCTGATACAAATAAAGAAAGATACTTTCTACTTTGTCTAATTTTTGTTTAACTTGTTTAGTATAAGTAAAGTGTATTTATAAATGAATATATTCTAATACTGGGCTTGGGCTTAAATGCTTTGTTATGCAAGTTTACACTGGCACAGGGCTATATTAAATAGTGAAATATTAGTAATTTGCATCTTTCCATTTTTGTGTATCCCAAGTTGTATCTCAATTTGGATCTAATGATGAGTTGCAGAAATTTTGACAGATTTATGATATCTGGCCATGGCTTGGTGTCAAGGATTGTGCTAAGATGGCACTTATAAGGAATGATCCAGGAGTAGAACAGTGGGTTATATCATTCAAAGACAATACTCAAAGCAAAAACCATTAAGTATACAGATACTAAAAATGAACAAATACCACAGTAAAAGATGATAAACAGAAACAACATCAAAACACATTCAAAGCGGTGAAGCACAAGAAGCCATTTAAGAATCTGACTCAGGCTGCATGTAAATTAAGGGAAAGCTTGCTAAATTAAGTTCCCATGGCATAGTGTTTTCTACATATGATAACAACATCAACTGTTCTCTGGTTATTTCTTTGACAATGATGAAATGCCACTGCTTCATGTAGAATCATGAACTCCACACAATTCACTTGGAATTAATGGCAAACTACAGTACAGACCCTTCAAAATGTTGAAGCACCATCTAAAGGTATGGCCCCATATTCCAACTGTGTCATTTTTATAGCATGGTGTGGTCTACTTTGGTCAGTCTGGGGACCAATATTCTGTCCTTGAGATACCTACCGTTATCTACAGTTTTGGAGAGGGGTGGTGTTAAACAGTTCAAGAGGAACTGTGACTTATTTGAAAGGTGGGCTGTCACTTCGGGAAGATTTAGAAACTGCAGTTCACCTTTATGAGCTGAAGAAAGAGGCATCTGGTTGAGGGCCTTACCCCAGAAAACCATCTTGAGGCCATACTTTGCCCACTCCTTCTCTAACACAAATTACTGTTGTACTTACAGATCTCCAATTTCTGTTCCAGATTGTGTACCGGGGGAGGGCCCAGTGCAGTCTTCAGTTGCATATTGCATTTCTGTCCTATAAGCAGCTTCACAGTCAGTTGCAGAAGTGAGGGCATGCCTGTGGACCACAAGGACAAGTGCACTATCACTTGCATGACTAGAAAAGTCAGTGGAATTCTATTGGTGCATTGTTAGCCTCTGCAATTGGGTTCATTCCTTAAACTGATCATAGTTTATTCAGTCTAAGTACTGGAATTCAATCTCCATCCCTGAAAAGGTAAAGGTTCCCCTTGACAATTGTCCAGTTGTGTCCAACTCTAGGGTGAGGTGCTCATCCCGGTTTCCAAGCCATAGAGCCAGTGTTTGTCTGAAGACAGTTTCCGTGGTCACGTGGCCAGCACAACTAGACACGGAATGCCATTACCTTCCCACTGTGGTGGTACCTATTCATCTACCGCATTTTTACATGCTTTCAAACACAATATTTCCCTTAGTTAATAATATATTTTACATAGATCTGTTGTTACAGTTAATGTAATGCATTATGAGAGCTCATAGAAGTTCTCCCGAGTTTTTCTTGTTATTGTTGTGCCTTTGAGGGTTTTTGTTTTATCTAGACTGTGTTCTTTCTCCTTCTTTTCAGATTTTCAACCTCATGAAGTACGACAGCTACAGCCGCTTCTTAAAGTCAGACACATTTCTAAAACTTAAGCAGGCTGAAGAACAGGAAGAAAACTCACCAGATGCTCAAAATGTAGCAAAAAGAGTTTCAAGAATTTACAACACATGATCCAAATAACCAGCAGTAGGTCCCACTGAAACTATAATGAAAAGGAGGAAGAAGAGGAGTGCTCAGGAATATTCTTTGAGGTTTAACACAGTTGCTATTAAAGCTTGGAAAATATAGAACTTTTTAGGCGATTTTTAACCCTAGTTGCTTGAATGACCTAACTGGTTTCTTTTTAATGATGGCTACAACCAAATGTCTTGGGCAAACAAGTATACCAGGCCCCTAAAAGGACTGAGGGGCTTGTCAGTAATTTGGAAAGAGAAGGTGAGAATGTTTTTAACCTTGTTCTTAAAAAAAACCAACCCTTACTCTGTGAATCATGGGCAAGGGTAAGTGGGAAATGTAGCATTGACACTTCTATAAATTTGTGAACAGTAATTATGTGTGGGGAAGTCAGAATGTTTGTTTGAATCCTTCGTAGTGCCTAAACACAGACTATTCATAAATGCACTGCCACCAAAGAATTAAATCCTGTCTGAATTTTGCATTCTTTATTATGGAGCTGAAATAAAATAAAGGAAAAGGGACTGATTCCTCTCCTACCAGATTTTTCTTGACAAGAATAGAGAAACTTCTGCTAAGGAAAGGGATGTATAAAAGTAGCAAAATATTCATTTGATATGCTCTGTTTAAGCTACCTTTACTTTTCTTCAGCAACTAATCAAAGGAATTGTAACCCCCCCTTTTTTTGGTGGTTCTCTGTGTAATAAAGCACATGTATTTCTCTCTGATAGTGGTTCCTGAATGATTTTAATAGGGCTTTTTAGTGCTCGGGTTTATTTCTGCTTGGGATGGGAAATTAATGCAGATTTCTTCCTAGCAGCTGTATAATCCAGATTTCTTTTCTCCCCATTTTTGTTTGGCAACAGAGCTGCCGTGCTAGGGATTTCCCAAACTGGCAAAAACTATGTTTTTTGTTGGGATGGACAGCTGTAGCTTTCAAGATGTTGCTGGACTTGCACTTGAAAGAAATCAGGGCCTGTAATTCTTCACCATTGGGTATGTGAGCGAAGGCTGATAGGAGTTGTCTACAAGGATACCTGGAGGGCTGCAAGCTGGCCATCCTAGCTTCACGTGCAATGGTGCACCTTTTTCATTGAATAGTAACTAACACTTGAATTTGCCAAACAAGTCGATATTATCTTTTTCTTTGCACTCAAAGTACACTTAGAAATTTTAACAGGTCCAGTGTTCTCCATCAGTTTGCCCAGCAGGACGAAAAACGCAGTTAGCATCACTCCCAGTAAGTATGCATTTTCCAACCCAATGGCAAATGTGAACAAGCTCTGAACCTGCTCCTGTTCATTCAGAGAAACGCCATTTTGATTGTCAAATGCCTTCTCCTCTGCCTTTAAATGATATTGAAAGCAGTCTTCGTTCTCACCTGCTTTTACATTAAGGTTCTTTTCATCTGACACAGCAGAGCAGTTCATTATCTGAATCAAAATACACTCCCTCAGTCTATTCACATGGCCTGAGTTAAACATACATGCTTCATGGAATACTGTTCATTTGCAGCTCAGCAGGCAGAATAGTCTGCAAATAGGAAAACAGAACTACAGAGTTTAGAGAGATCAACATTCGCCCTGTTTTAACACTTATTATCACATTGTTATATAGAATGTTGTTTTCTTTCTGAGCAAATTTCTTCTGACTGATTTGATATGTTTCTGTCTCAGTTCCCTGGGAGCAGATGATCTAGAGCAAAGGATTCAGTGTCACCCACTGATGAGGACATGACTTTAAGAATAATTGGCAGCCCAGCATGCATATAGAAATACATAAAATGAGGTGTTACTTACTACAGTGGTCCCTTGACTTACAGACGGCTTGACTTACAGACTTTTTGAGTTACAGACTTCTCTGGCCGCAAAATTTAGGTTTGACTTGCAGCCTGAGAATTGACTTACAGACCAGAAAAAAACCAAAATGGAACAAAAACGGCCTGTTACAGGATTAATTGGTTTTCAATGCACTGTAGGTCAATGGAGACTTGACTTACAGACTTTTTGACTTGAGAACCGCCTTCCAATACGGATTAAGTTCTCAAGTCAAGACCCCACTGTGTACTTTGGAAGTATACTCGCTATGTTGTTGCAAAGTATGATACATTGCAGGATTAAGTGCGGGGAAACTGCTTCTGCTGCTTTATAGTAGCTAGTTGTACTCAAAGATAGTGCTTCTAACATCACAAACCCTAACATCTCCTACACCAATGGTCCCCAACCTTGGGCCTCCAGATGTTCTTGGACTACAACTCCCAGAAGCCTTCACCACCTCCTCTGCTGGCGAGGATTTCTGGGAGCTGAAGTCCAAGAACATCTGGAGGCCCAAGGTTGGGGACCACTGTCCTACACTACCCTGGAAGAGCTGGTAGCATTTTAAACATTCATTCTTCTTCGTGGCCTCTGTGAATGCACACATATGGGTCTTGTCAGCACCCACGCTGACGTTCTCGGAAGATGCCCAAATGTCTATTTTTCTTCCCTCCTCGTTCATTGGGGTATCTTTAGATTTATTGTGGCCTCTAGATTGTCTAGATTCCACTATTATAGAATTTGGTAGAGGATGTTTGTTCAGAAATTCAGTGTCGGTACCATTTCTACTTTACCTTTGCAAAGGTTTTCAGTTCAATGTGAGTAATAAAAGAACGGAGAGAATTAATGAAGAGAAGATATCACTAGTTAGGCTGTGAGGAAAGGAGTTTGCGAAAGCTCAGTCTTCCCAGAGAACCGTTCAGCTCGGCGGAAAAAAGGAACTGAGAGGAGTGGTGGGTGGGAGGAGCATGTGCCTCATGGGGGAATCACACTATAAAATTGTTACTTTCAGCTCTAGAATCTTCCAAGAATGTCAGTGCAGGCGCAGACAAGCCCCATATGTGTGAATTCACAGAGGACCACTCAAAGAACTATGGTTACAGGTAAGTAACACTATTTCTGCTTAAAGATAAGGCAACAATTGTATGCTGCAACAAATCCTATTTGAAGCTAGAACACAATACAACAAATAATTTTGATGCTCAAGAACAAAATACATTGTGGACATATCACAAATTGAACAAATGATTATAGACAAATAGTTGTGGGGTTTTTGGGCTCTTTAACCATGTTCTGAAGGTTGTTCTTCCTAACTTTTCTCCAGTCTCTGCGGCTGGCATCTTCAGAGAACAGGAGTCAGAACTCTGTCTGTGCTCTGGTGCAGTTTGTTTGGATAGTTGAGTATAGCTGTGGGATCAGCTTTTGTCCTTTTCAGGAGATGGGTGATTGTGGTGATCAGCATGTTTTTTTTGTTGTGGATGTATTGTTGTGATAAGGGGGGAGATATTATCTGTCACTGTGACTGATGGGTGTTGTTAGCTGGTCTTTTGTGTGCAGTGATCACTGGTCTTTGTGGCTAGGTAGAGTTCGTTGACCTTTTGCAGGCTGTATTTTTCAGTGCTGGGAGCTAGGCTTTGTTGAGTTTTAGACTTTCTTATTTTTTGTTGAAGCTCTGCTGGTGTTTGTGAATTTCAATAGCTTCCCTGTGCAGTCTAACATAATGATTGCTGGTGTTGTCCAGTACTTCAGTATTTTGAAATAGAATTTCATGTCCAGCTTGTTTTAGGGCATGTTCAGCTCCTGCAGATTTTTCTGGCTGTTTTACTCTGCAGTGTCTCTCATGTTCTTTGATTCTGGTGTGAATGCTGGCCACCACTGCAAGGTATCTGGTATACTCCTGCAGTGGTGAGGGGGTCCCTTTTGTCCTTTGCTGACTGTAACATTTGTTGTATTTTTGTGGTGGGCCTGAATACTGTTTGTAGGTTGTGTTTTTGTTTTTTCAAAAATTTCCCCATGTGGTCCATGACCTCTTGGATGTATGGCAGAATTTGTGGATGGCTGTTTTTCCTCTTCAGTTTGGTGTTGTTTTCATAGTTTGATGGCTCTTGTGATTTTTGGAGTAGCCATTTGCCTGTAGGGCCCAATTCAGATCGTTGAGTTCAGTGCTGAGAAATTGAGCTTCACAGTTTGCACGGTTTGCACGGTCTACCACTGTTTTGATAAAGCCTCTTTTTTCTGTGGGTGGTGGTTGAAGTTTTTGTGTAGGTACTTGTCTGTGTGGGTGGGTTTTCTGTAGACCTTGTGTCCAAATAGGTCAGTTTTGCATATGACCATGACATCTAAGAAAGGGAGTTGGCCTTCTATTTTTTCTCCCATGGTGAATTGTATATTTGGGTGGATGCTGTTGAGATGGTTTAGAAATTCTTCCAGTTTTTCTTCACTGTGGTTCCATATTGCAAAGGTGTCATCCACATATCGGAACTAGATTGTGGGTGCAAAGGGTGTCGAAGCCAGGGCCAGTTTTTCGAAATGTTCCATGTAGAAGTTTGCTATAACCAGGCTGAATATACTGATTATAGAAAAGCGCATATTCTGGCACAGCCAGTGTTTTGGCTACACTCCATAAACAGAGTTATGATGAAAAAAAATTACTTAATTTTGGAAATAACCCTGTGCAAGAAGTAGATGCACAACAGGATTCTAAGTGCCAGAAGTATGTTGTACAGTACATGATAGAAAACAACCTTCAGACAATTCAATTGAGATATCCCTGGAAAAGATCCTTTATACCACTTTCTTTTCATGTTCAATTAGATCAGTGTGTTTCCTTATAATGTTCAAATTTTGATGGTACCAGTGGATATAGAATATGTTGATATTGATGTTTTAGAATTTGACTATGTTTGGAGAGATTTGTCCTCCCAGCTTGGAATGAAACACATTTTTGAGTATTCTAGTCATCGTGCAAAACAAAAGAAAGAAAGAAAGAAAGAAAGAAAGAAAGAAAGAAAGAAAGAAAGAAAGAAAGAAAGAAAGAAAGAAAGAAAGAAAGAAAGAAAAATTCTGGATGTAAATATCACCCAGGAACTACCTTCTCTTTTTCATTCTGGAGTTACCACTGGGAACAAAAGATTTTCCTGGCATAGTCCTTGCATGTGTTTATTTTTTATACTCATCCGTTTAATGCCAAATGACTACACTGCTGTTAAATGTGAAGAAAGCAGACTGGCTGGCATACTTTATTTACACATTCTACCATAAGCACTGTAAATCTGGCTCTCATTTTCTTACTGTTTATCCTTTCGTCTTCTGCTTGCAGGCTTCTTTATTGTCCCATTTAACTATTAAAATATTGGAAAATTCTGTAGCTACAAGGTCACTGGTGTCTGCTTAGTTCTTGCTCAAGTAACATTTTGAAAAATCTCCAAGATAATATAATGTTGTAAGAGAAGATACATTTTTCCAATGGAGATAATTGCAACAGGCTGCTGTATGGGGGGGGGGACACACCTTGTTCATTTTAATACATACATGTGTGAAAATATTGTGGTGGAGCCAGGAAAGAGATTCTTTGCTAACATTTCATTCCTTACGGTCACCCCATGATCTAGGGCAGCATTATTTTGCAAATGCATCCAGTTACATGCATGTCTTCTCCACTACAGGCATCAAATTGATTTAATGTGGTTAATTAGGATGTATGTGCAGAGAGTAGTAAAGCACAGTAGATTTACATCATTCCATTGTCTAGTAACAAAGGACTATAATGTAACACTTTGCACAGAGTTCCTTATCCCTCAAACTGTACTGAAACAGCCTTTTAAGGAGATGTGGGGGAAGAAACTTCAGTCTACACAATTAAAACGTGCATTCTCCAGCTAATCCACAAAGACTGAATTTCTTAAAATCTTAAT